GCCTTATGTCTAAATAGAGTCATAAAAACTTACTTTTATGACTAAATAGACTAAATAGGCCAATTACTGTGTTATTTGATCTATTAATGCAAAGTCCACCCAAGCTTTGATTAAAAATAAGTCCACCCAAGCTTTGTAATTTATTTGTCCACCTGGGATTAAAAATTGATTAAAAGTCACGTGGGATGACATCAACTTTGATTAAAAATAAGTCCACCCAACCAATACAAACTTTGTATATGTTTTAATCAAAGCACAAGACAAGAAATTTACTTTCTACTTCAATTACTGTGTTATTTACTCTATTACTTTGAACTTTGTATATGCTTGCCTTATGTCTGTCATCCATTGTTTAGGTCCTTATTTGGAACAAACTTTCATATACACATACAAACTGAATTCATAGACTTTTTTTGATGTGTGTAAGTGACATCTATTTGTTCTATGGTTATGTGATTGCATATATAACATATGGTTGGTAGTTGGTATGTTAGCTCAAATCAGAATGGTTTTTTCTGCACTTCTTCTTAATGTATCATTGTGTTTTGAGCTCATTATTTTCTGCACATCATTTGCTCACTTATATTTTTATCCTTCTACAATTTCTTCTTCCGGTACGGCTATTGGCCTTCAACTTCGCAAGTATTCCGATGTCTCCCTGCCTCTTTAATTTCAATTCTTCCTAATTCAATTCTTCCTACTTCAAATTCACAGCAATTTTGGTTTGCAAAAGTTGGAAATCCCTTGAAACTTCAGCCACTTCCAAAAAATTTGAGATTTTTTCGGTTTGCAAAGTTTGGATATCCCTTCAAACTTCTGGAATTTACATAAAAATTGAAGTTCTTTTTTCAGTTTGCCAAATTATTGGAATTTCTTTAAACTTCAGCCACTTCCCAAAAAAAGGACTCCATTTGAATTTTGGGTGCTTAGCTTGGATAATTTAAAATTTCTATTGTTTAAGATTGGTATACACCGCATGACTCTATGTGTATGTGACTTTTAGTTTTGGATTTGTTGGTTGGTGTTTGGTGTGTTTATTTTTCTAAAATTTCAATTGATTATTCCTTCTATTTCAAGTGCTCTTTTATTTACTGCATTTTTGAAAAAGTCCTTTCTTGTCCATTTTTTTACTCAAAATGAGTGGTGTATGAAGGCTCTTGAGGACATGCTTGATACTCGATCCATTAATTGATTGGCCAAACCCATTTTCGTAAACGGATGAAATTGGGAAAAAGTCCACACACTCCCACATACATGTACCCGGAACTGAATGCAGGAATCCATCCAAAAGTTTATATCTTTTAAAATCAGCAGTTTCATAAACAAATGCAACACATGTTTTGTTAAGCTGGGACCCTATAGTTAGAAACCAGTGGCCATTTTTCTAGTCAGCCCAAGCCATAGTCGGGTCCCTGCGCCACTCTATCCATTTTTGATTGGCCTTCTCCTTTCAATAGCTTCTCTGTTTTCTACATTAGGGTCTGTTTCATATATACTTCTTGAGCTTTGAGGAGCGCTTCCTTAGATTTTTTTCAGGTTAGATAATATGTTCCCAAAGGTATCTTTATTCCAATCTTTAACCTGTATTTTATGACCCTTGATTTTAGAGGCTAATCTAGACATCCCCCATGATCAAAATTCTTTATCAAGAAATCGGAGACGATATTATGGAAGCTGTGATGATTCACCCATGCATTAACAAATCTGTAAGGTTTAGGACTACCCTTATCAGGATTATTGCAGCATAAAAATACAGGTTTGAGGTCAGATGTGGCCTTATTGAGATGTTTGGAGAAAATATCCTCGTAAACTTCCATCATAGAATTGTTAACCATGATTATATCCAACCTATGAGAACCTTTAGTAGCAATAACGCCCCTTCCCTTTAGGGGTAGTTTCCACCGCCTCATTTGCTCCACTTCCACGTATTGTACTCGGTTCAACAAATTCTATGTTCTCCCATAGTTTTGAAGTAAAATGAGATCAATACTCATACTCATCGTGTGTGGGTGCCCAACTTTGTTACATTTCTTTATTCATAGGGGTGGTGATTTACATATATGTCAAGAAGGTGTTCATGTAATTACTTTGATAAACATTTTATTCTTTATGGTCTTCACAGGTGTACTCTTCGTGCCCCGTTTTTATCTCATCAACTTCTTGTTCCACTTTCTTGGTATGTTTACGCACTTTAAAGATATACTCCCTCCGTTCCATGAAACATGGGAGTTTTGCTTTTTAGAAGACATATAAGGGGAGTGTATTTTGGTATTGAATTTCCAAAAATGTCCTTTGATGTGATGGGTAAAAGTACGATTTGATGGATAAATTATTAGTAAAAAAGTATGATGTGATAGGTAGGGTATGAAAAAATAAGGGGTAAAAGTGACTTTTTAATAGAAATAAGAAGTGTTTTATGGGACGGATAAAAAAAGAAAGGAGAAAGGTTTTATGGGACGGATGGAGTATTTCTTTAAATTTTATTGAAAACAGATTTTGTATGTATTTCTAGAAATGTAATGTCAAAATTATTTGCTAAGAATTAAAATTCTTTATAAGCATTTGTAACTTTTCGATATAGATATCTGTAATGACACTTGGTTCTAAAAGAACCTCTTTTTTCTTATTTGGTAGCCACATATATAAAAAAACTTACGATTTACTAAATTTAATACATATATTTGTAATTACATGATGTATAACATTACTCAACACTTGGGTGTATTCTTAAGTTATTATAAATAAAAAATAAAGTTTATATATTTAAAAAGTACGTTAAAAGTTCTACAAAATAAGAGATAGAGAATATTTTTATTTATGAAATAGTCAATGATATCATACAAATAAACAAAAATTCTCATAATTTTGAATAGTGAAGTGTGTAAAGCAATTTAGAGACACAAAGAGTCCGGGAGTATACCTAATCTTGGGCACCCACGCACATTGTGCGTCTCCAAGCTAGTACTCAAATATATGCCAAAATTTTCCAAAAAAAAAAACTCAGAATATTAAATAAAAAAATAACAAATCAAAATAAATACCGAGATAGAACCAAACCGTATCATATTGATCGGTCGATACAGCATTTCGAAACGGTATGAGGTGACGTCCTATACCGGAAATCTTGAACCGAACATATATACGTAATATATTATGAAATAATAATCTTTTTATATTTCTTCACTAAATAATAAATTTAATTTGAAAAGTTAGTTCAAGTTGTATCATGTGCAAGGTATACTTTATTTGAGTTTTCGTTTTTTGCATTTGAATATAAAAGTATACACAACCATTCAAAATACATTTTTTTTATCATTCGTTTTTTTAGTTTGTGAAATACACAACTAAGTTTTGATATGCATTTCTTGCATTTAAATATTCATTTTTTAGTTTTTTATGTTTCTTTACTAAAATGTACTTTCAATTTTTCAAAAATAAAGGGGTATTATTACATTTAAGGTGTAAAGTATGTATGTATGTATGTATGTATGTATGTATGTATGTATGTATGTATGTATGTATCCATCCCGATTTATACCGAAACGATACCAAGCCATCCTAAACCATAACGAACCGAAATATTTAGTACGGTATCGAACCGAACCATCCTAAGCCATCCTAAACCATACCGAACCGAAATATTTGGTACGGTAACCATACTGTCCTCACCCCTACTCCTAACTCCAAAGTTAAGTTTGGTTTGTTTCAAAGTAACTTAATTTCATAAGATTTTCATTTTATGATGATAAAAAGATAATAATAAAGTTAAAGTTTAATTTTATGATCAAAGACCTTATTATTTAATCTAAGTGATAACCCTTGGTGCCTTCAATAGGTTGAGAATATACGTATCACTACAATAATCTGTTGGATCTACTATGGATATCTGCAACTAACATTAGTCCGTCGTAGAACTGACACGACTTCGCGACAAATATAACATTGCTGAAAACGTGTTACATATATACGATGGATAAATTTTCTCCATCACAGAGTTGCCACAAAAGTGTGGAATTCCGTCGCAAATGATGCGTGCTAAACTGCGCCTTATTCGCGCCACTCAAATCAGCACCGAAATATTTATTCTTGTAGCAGATTTGTGACAGCCATTTACCACGGATCTAGCTCTGTTGCAGATGGTAAATAAGTTTGAAACCCTTATCTAAATTGATTGGTGTACACATCCACAAACCAGACCACAACACCCTTTGTCTCATCGTCTACGACTTCCACCTCTAGACCTTCTTTCCATGCCGACGCTTGAAGTCGCCTCGCCGAGTCGCTTATCATCCCCTGGCACTAGTCGCCACATCGCTACCCGTCCTTAGACGTCATCAACTGCATTGTCGTCCAGTGCGGAGCTTTAGCCCCACTCTGACACAACTCGAAACGCACGAAGTCGAAGTGGTCTCAAACGCCACCCAACCCACCACAAGCTACCTTGCATCGTCCTCCCTGATGTCACGCCACTATGACTAGTAGTCATCATCCTTGCCTCCTAAATCCTCAATCTTTAAGGTTTTTCTTTAATTTTGTCCAACTAAAATTTATACTTTTAGTTCCAAGTGCTATTTTTTGTCGAGTTGAGTGAACTTGATTGTGTAATTGTGAAATTGAGAACATTTTAAGTGAAATGAGTGTTGCTGTTAGACAATATTAATTATGGTAGTAGTACTATTTTCTATATATATTTTGATGTACTCTACTCCACAGCAGTGTCTTTCAATCTACCCATTTCTCAATATGGTATCAGAGCCTGGGTAACGGAACCCTGTCTCTGTCTCTTCTTTTTTTTTCCGATCGTCTCTGAAAATTGATCGGCCATCATCATCATCTCATCTCATCATCATCATCTCAATTATTATCATCATCTTCATCTCATCATCGGCCAGCAACAGTACTCCCTTCACTTAGACAAATTTTTTCTTCTGCGATTGGATAAATTGGCCATCAATCTCTCTGCGGTCATTACCGATCATCATCATCAGGTGATTCAGTCCGGCTTCTTCTTCCCATGTGTTCGGTCATTGCTTATCTCTGTTCCCGATCGCCGGTCAGTCCTTCGTTTTGAGTATCTCCGCCGCGCGCAGCCACAGATCAGCATCTCCAGGGCTCTTGTTCAAACATGGTGACCGGATCACCTGAGACAGATCCCTTTGATTCGCTGCCAGGAGGTTTGCGACTTTTCCTTCGCAACTTGCACTCTCTTGTTCCTATAAAATTAGATGACAGCAATTATCCGTCTTGGTCATCGACCGTTAAAGCTACACTTCAGGCACACCGTCTCTTTGGATATGTCGATGGTTCTGTACAGGCTCCTACGCCAACTATTCTGGATGAAAAGGCACCTGTCAGTGCAGACAAACAGCCGGTTCTCAAACCAAATCCGGCCTATGATCAATGGCTTATTATTGATGCTCAACTTCGTGCATCTCTTCTTGCTCTCCTTTCCCCGACCATTCAGAATTTGGTTCATCTTTGTTCCTCTGCTGCCGAGATTTGGGATCATCTACATACATGTTATAATTCTCTATCCCGTACTCATATATTTCAACTCAAGGAGCAACTCAACAACCTTCACAAAGGGCATGATTCAATGCAAAAATATTTAGACTCGGTGCTTGGAATTGTTTCATCTCTTGCTCTTGCACGTGAGCCCGTCCCTGAACAGGACATTATTCTAAGTGTCCTGCGAGGTTTTCCATCAGAGTATGCCTCACTTAAACAGAATATTGGGACGAACATTACTGACCTTACTTTCAACAAAGTGTCATCTTGGTTGCTCTCCGAGGAGCTCAATTTGCAGATGGAACAAAAGCTGCATCTTGGCTCCTCCTCTAGTCCGTCGAATGAGGTTCATACTGCTTTATATACTACGAATGGACGTGGTGAAAGTCGACGTGGACGTGGCCGTGGTCGCTCCTTCAATGGCCGAAGAGGGGGCCGTACCAGTGGAGGTGGCCGATTCCAGTCAGATCGTGGTCGTGGTCGTGGCCCTTATCGAGCATCGACACTAGTCTGTCAAATTTGTGGTAAATTTAATCATGGTGCATGGCAATGCTGGAATCGTTACAATGAAGATTTTTCTGGTCCACCTCATTTCATTAATAATGCTCAAGCTTTGTACACCACATATCTTACAGACACTAATCAGAATTGGCATCTAGACTCTGGTGCAACGACTCATGTGACTTCGGATTTATCAAGGCTCCATAATCCCTTACCATACCATGGCCCAAACTCTGTTTCTACTGCTGGAGGGCAGTCTCTACCTATATCGTATGTTGGCTCAGGGAAAGTGTCCACACCCGCAGGTACTTTCACCATCTCTAACCTTTTCCAT